CGCTACCCCCACCTCATGGCAGGTGCGTGACTCACCCTGAGATACCTCTTCCGGTTCACGTACACGTTCACCAGAGCCCTGAATTTGATGAGCGTCCTCCGCAGCCGCCTGTACCTCTGCCTGCAGGGAGCAGCAAGGCCGGGGGCAGCAGGGAAAGGGGGGAAATACTACGCTGAGCCCCCAGCAGAGAGGGGTGGCTCCTAGACCCACTTCAAGGCTTGGCTTCCAAGCAGGGGGAATGGGGCTCTGACCCACAAGCACTGGCGGTGTAAGGGGGTGTAACACTGGGCTGAGCAAATGGCTCTGCCCTCTTTGCTGCCCCCATGCTCCCAGCAGAGGGGTTAGGGAGGGAGGAAGGTCTGGCAGTGACCCCCTGAAGCCCTGCCACCAGCACAGCTTGGGGCCTGATGCTGAGCCCAAGGGGCGTCTTTCCCACGGCAGTGGGGACAGGACTGCAAGGGAGCAGGGACTGAGCCCATCCCAGTGAGACCCACCAGCTGGAGGAGAGGAACCCGCTTGTCCTGCCTCAGGACTCCGCACCCAGCCCCTCACCTCAGCTGCCACCTGCCCATCCCAAAGCACAGCCCAATAGGTGCCCCAGGGCACCTGGGCAAAGCTAGCCCAGGAAAGGGGATCCCCACAGCCCTCCCTGCACAGGAAAGCACCCAGGAAACCCCATGCTCACGGCCCGCACCTGGCAAGGTAGCCCCGGGAGCGACTCTGGATGAGGATGATCTTGCGGCGCAGGGAGTAGAAGCGCTTCTTGAGGAAGAAGGTGCGGGCATAGCGCTGCAGCGTGAGGGCTGCCAGGTGGTGGGCCCGGTCCCGCTTGCTCTCCAGCTCCTGGTACAGGTGCTCCTTCATGAACAGCTGTGGAGGGAGGATGCCCTGAGCCCCTGACCATGGCAGCTCGCCTGGCTGGCCCCAGGATTTTGGATACCCAGTGGAGGAGGAAGAACCTGGAGCCTGGGGTCACTGCACTCCTTCCTCCGCATCCTCCCATGTCTGCTTCCCTGACCAACTTCCTCTCCCTGCCCCTGCCCTTTGCCTCTATGACACCGGGCTGGGAAGGGAGATGCGGGGTGATGCCGAGGTAGGGCTGTGTGGGCCAGTCAATAAGAACTGGAGGCCGTGGGGGTGAAGCAGGGGGCTTGGTACCACCCAGCTAGCAACAGCCCTGGCAGCAGGGACCAAATGTATGTGGCTGGGAAACCCTGAGGGGGGTCCTGAGCATCACGCCCCATCCCCAGGAGGGGCTGGGAGTGTTCAGACACATAAGGATGAGCTAAATGCATCATCTGCTTTCCCACAACCATGACTGTGGGCATTGCCCGTGGCCTTTTGGGGTCTGCCTCATGACATGGGGATATTGAGGGGTGACAGCTCCATGTTCCCAGGTCCCACATCAGCATCCTTCTTCCAAGGGGCCCTGGCCAGACGCTTGCTGGTGATGAGATTCAGGCTAATGAGTGTTACACAATCAGGGCCTGATTTTTATGATAATTAACGCTCGTAATCATTATCCTTCTCGTGGCTAATGCCTCCACCCCACCAACAGGGAGCAGGAGGATGGGGCCTGCCCCAGAGTGCTCAAGCATAGACAGGAGACAGGCAGACAGGCAGAGACAGACGGAGGAGGAGTACGAGGAAACAACGCTAGGGGGACGGTGTCGTTTTTTTGAGTCATGCCCATGCATCTGCATGACTCAAAAAATGTTTCATGCCTGGACCAGCCAGGACTGTTGCAAGCAGGTCACTGCCTGTGCCAACCACCTGCTTGTGAGCACAGTCACCCGCTTGGCCCCATGTAAAATGGGGCCCCTCGCCCATGGACAATCTCACCTGGGTGTGCTGGGAGGCAGCACCAAGCCTGGGACCCAGCCACA